CCCAACACCACAGGCTGGCTGGGGAAAAAATATCCTGGCGAAGGACCCAACCACATGCAGCTGCGAGTAACATAGGATCTCACCTTCTCATCATAGGCAGCGCGCCACGAGACGGATAAAGCACGGGGCAACGCGGATGGTAGCCTCGAAACGTGTGCGGGGTGTGCCGAAGTGGGCGGGGGGACGCATGCGGGCGCTGCTACTTGGGCCTTCGGCGGAGCTCCCGATGGGCCACGAAACGCGTGAGGGGTGTGTCAAAACAGGCAGAGGAAGGCATACGAACCCTGCCGCTAAGGCCTGCAAAGGAGCTCCCTATGGGGCCACGAAACGGACGGGGAAGGTGCCGAAATGAGGCAAGGCCGCCATGCGAACCCTGCCGCTGAGGCCTGCACTGGAGCTCCCTATGGGGCCACGAAACGTGCGGAGGGTGTGCCGACATGAGGCGGGGCCGCCATGCGAACCCTGCTACTGGGCCCTTCGATGGAATCCCCCATGGGGCCACGAAACGTGTGAGGGGTGTACCGAAATAGAGGCGGAGCCGCCATGCGAACCCTGCCATCGGGGCCTTCGGTGGAGCTCCCGATGGGGCCACGAAACGTGTGAGGGGTGTGCCGAAATGAGGCAAGGCCGCCATGCGAACACTGCCACTGGGGCATTATGTGAAGCTCCCTCTGGGTCAACGAAACGTGTGATTGATATGCCGAACTGGGGCGGGGCCGCCATGCGAACCCTGCCACTGGGGCCTTCGGTGGAGCTCCCTATGAGGTCACGAAACGTGTGAGGGTGTGATGAAATGGGGCGGGGCCGCCATGCGAACCTTGCCACTGGGGCCTTCGGTGGAGTTCCCTATGAGGTCACGAAACGTGTGAGGGAACAAGCCGCCCTGGACCTCGAAGGTAAGGCCGAATCATTGGCCTCATACATGAAAGAAGCCATGGCGAAGTCAGTACCACTACAACCAGCCGCGGCCCACCGACCGTGGATATCTGCCCGGACGTTGCACTTCATTGAGCAGAGGAGTGCAGGACGACAGCGTGGAGCCAATAACGATGAACTAAGATTACTGAAAAAACATATTCAAACATCGGCCAGTGCAGACAGGCAAAAATGACTCGACGAAGCAATCGAAAAAAATGGATGGCGGGCCATTCGGTCCCTCCGGAAAGGGAAACAATTAAATCAAGGTCGTCTTCGAGATCTGAACGGTGACCTGGTGGATGCTACACGGAAGGCCGCCACAATGGCAGACAATATTGAACAAGTCCAGCGGCATCTTCCGCCGGCTGTGGATCTGCCGCCTCACGTCGATGTAGAAGACGGCTATTTGAGAATCGATACGAATGACATCACCACAGAGGAAGTCAAAAGCGTAATCAAACAACTCCGAGTACAGAGAGCTCCTGGGAACGATGGCGTGCCACCAGAACTGTGGCAGTGTGTATGGAGAGACATCCAAGCAAGATTCTAGCAGATCTGTGCAACACGTGTTGGCGACAAACAGATATAGTCAGGAACAAGCAGTTAGCACAACGGCTATACGGCCTGTGCTATCTCAAGCGTCGTGCCAACTGCAGCCAACATCGTCTTACAGCACACTTGTTCTATGCCAAAACGTCGGTAACAGGCCGTTTTTCGAAATTGAAACTCGACATTACACGAGTCGATTGCGCGGACGATTTCACATAATCGATCATACGTCGAGTTTTTGGCATTTATTTGGCACGCAGTTGATATTATACGCGTCGGGTGACATCGGGCGCCTCGGGAGGGAGAAGATAGCATTCCCTGGGAAGGAGGGGGCGAGGGAGGGAGGGAAGGAGGGAGGGAGATAACACACCCTGAGGCCCGCGGCCCTCGGCGGCCCTCGGAGGCCCTCCGCCGACCCTCGGCGGCGGCGAGGGCGGCGCGGCGGCGGCCGCGCCGCCGTCGGCGTCGGCGTTGACCGCCCGGCGTCCGGCGTCGAGTCATGACGGGGTCTTCCCGCCTCGGGAGTCCTCGGCAGGCCTGCCGGCAGAGGCGCCTCGTCGAGCGCGCTCCAGGGGTGCCCAGAGCCTCCCGAGCGACCGCCGGAGGTCCGAGCTGTGGCCCGAGAGCCGGACATCCGAGGCGGGACTTTGTACACGACCGCCGCCGGGAGGGTCGGTTTTCGGGGACCTCGGCAGGAGACATCGGGCGCCTCGGGAGGGAGTAGATAGCACGCCCCAGGAAGGAGGAGGCGAGGGAGGAAGGGGGGGAGGGAGGAGGAGGAGGAGGAGGAGGAGGAGGAGCAGGAGGAGGCCTCCCAGAAGCCCCCGAGCAGAAGCCTCCTTCTCTGCCTCGGATGCCCAGGAAGGGAGAGGAGAGGAGAGGAGGACGATGTGGGAGAGGAACGGAAAAGGAGGAGGAGGAGGAGGAGGAACAAAAGGGTTCGAAGGGGAAGATATCCAACCCTATATATATATACACATACATACATACATACATACATACATACATACATACATACATACATACATACATACATACATACATACATACATACATACATACATACATACATACATACATACATATATATATAGCTGCACCCCACCTGCTGGGCTGGATCCATTCTGCAAAACCAGGAGGGGTAGGTTTTCAGGCCTGAAACTAGACCGCCAGACGATAGCACAGATGCCAGCCTGTGCTGACTACTCCTTGGGGAAGAGATCCAGCCCTAGCAGTGCCCCACCCGCGAGGAGTAGTTGGCACACGTTTTCCAAGGATTAGTTAGCACATGCTGGGCTGGATCCATTCTGCAACACCTGGGGGGGTATGTTTTCAGGCTTGAAACAAGCCAGCAAGCAGATAACATGTTTTCAGCCTGTGCTAACTACACCTTGGACGGCTTGTGCTAACTACTTGTTCCTGACTATATGCCCACAAGCTGGAGGGAAGCATCCATTGTTTCAATTTTCAAGAACAGGGACACGTCCCAGCCGTGTAACTGCAGGCCAATGTCGTTACCAGTGGGATATAAAGCTATCGCTGGCATCCTTTTGCAACAAATCAAACATGGAGGAGCAGAAGGGGCATCACGGGAGTCACAACACGTATTCAGATCAAAACGTGGCACGACCGACGCCCTCTTCCTGGCAAGGCGGTTGATCGACGCGGCATTGGAGGACAAGGATGGTTCCCTTTTGCTCTTGCTGCTGGACTGGAGCAAAGCATTTGACCGCATTCGGCCAGGAAGACTTCTTCACGCACGTCGACTGTTCCGCGTGCCACCGCCTATGCTACACATGATCGAACCAATTTACAAGGTGCGAACTTTCGTGGTCAAGAACGGGACTTCCACGACATTGAGCAGAGCCCAGGCGGCAGGGATAGCACAAGGATGTCCGCTTTCACCATATTTGTTTATCATCGTGATGTCCGTTCTCTTGGATACTGTTGACAAGCAAATGGCGGAGCACGTTGAAAAAGTCTTCCAAGCCGTACTTGATTACAGAAGACGTGCTCTACGCAGCCGACACAATGTTGATCGCAGACAATCCGGGCGATCTGCATAAGCACTTGGTGGATGCAGCGGTGCTGGTTGGCCAAAAATTTGGATTACACCTCAACGCTGGGAAGACCATCCTTCTCCGCTCAAACGCCACCATCATAGGGCCCGACGGCGCGGCCATCCCGTGCAAAGAGAACGCCGTGTATCTTGGCGGGCTTTTGAATGTAGACGGCGGGCCACGCAGTGAACTGACCAAGCGCCTTGGGGAGGCCAAAGGGCACACAGCATCTCTACAAAACTGTTGCAACGCCAATGTTTGCTACATGGTAAGATCGCCCGGGAATCTCCTAGCAGTCTCCCAAGACGTATTGTGATTATGAGACGTTTTAGCGCAATGGCAACAGGGCCCCTCGAGGTCAAACGGCAGCGAAAGGCGCGCTGTCACAAGTGACACATGCTCTATATCACACCCGTGAAACTCTGTCACGATCTATCCGGTGGATCGCGTAGTCACGCTGATCCCTGTCACCTCGGGGCCGCCATGCGAACCCTGCCACTGGGGCCTTCGGTTGAGCTCTCTATGGGGCCACGGGCCTTCGGTGGAGTTCCCTATGGGGACACGAAACGTGTGAGGGATGTGCCGAAATGGGGCGGGGCCGCCATGCGAACCCTGCCACTGGGGCCTTCGGTGGAGCTCCCTATGGGGCCACGAGACGTGTGAGGGGTGTGCCGAAACAGAGACATGCGGAGGGCAGAGGCACAGAGGCAGAGGAGGGGATGAGGAGGGGGCAGCGGGAGGAGAAGCGGGACGCGGGGCGCTGTCTCTTCAGAACGAGGACCCAGCACCACATGATGGTTGGGAAAAGAACGCGCTCTCTAGTCTTGGCGTCGCGGCCGCGCGCGCAGCGACGCAGCAGCTTCAGCCAGCAGAGTGCCCGAAGGGAGCAACCGAGGAAACACGCGCACACGCGCACACACACAGTCGCTGGTCCTCACTCCCCCTATTCGGCGCCCCCGAGGCGGGCAACGTAGCGAAACCGCACGCTCCTGGGCGGGGCAGGCTACCAGGCCCCTGTCGGCGATCAATGGGCGAATGGGGAACAATGCACTACTAGAGGAGCGAAAAAACTGCATAAGCGTAAACTTTTGGAGGTCCGCGCGGAGCTCCGAAAGTTGATGTTTATGTAGTTGTTTGTTGTTCGAATCCTTCCCTGAGCCTGCCCCCCCCCACCCCCGACGTTGGCCCTGAACGCACCCGGTCCCCTCTCCCCCTCTGCGGCGCCCTGGATAGCAGGGAAGGGGGGGGGAGAAGGAGGAGGAGGAGGAGGACGAGGAGGAGGAGGAGGATAAAGAGGAGGAGCAGCAGGAAGAGAAAGAGGAGGAGAAGGAGAAGGAAGAGGAGGGGGAGGGGGAGAGCGGGAGGGGGAGGGGGAAGGGAGGAGGAGGAGGAGGAGGAGGAGGAGCAGGAGGAGCAGGAGGGGGGGAGGAGGGGGAGGAGAGAGGGCGGCGTAGCGCGGCGAGGGTGCCCCGCCTCTGGAGGGCCGGGCAGCGAGGACTCGACGAGGGGGACGCCCGCGAGCATCTCCAGGGCGGTCTGGGGCGGTGTTCGCCGTGCGCCCGCCCGGCCGCACGGCCGCCGCCCCCAGACCCCCAACGACAGACGGCTTTGCGCTATGTTCGGCCTCCGGGGGCCCGTACCGGGCCTGGCGACCATCACAAAACGCAAGATGAAAAACTCAGCCCCTCTGGGGCTCGACGTGGTGAAAAATCCTGGCGTTGGGGGTCTGGGCCCGCTGCCGCCGCCGCCACTCGCCGCTGCTGCCGACGATGCTGGGGCGGCCGCCGCTCTGAGATGGAACACCACGCGTCCTTGAGTCGCCACTGGGTCTCTTATCTAAGATATGTGTGGGGTAACGTCACCCACCTGTTCATGTATGCTCATAGTTTTGCATGGCCACCGGCTGCCATTACAAAAGAGAAAAACAAAACAAACAAAAAAACGTGCGATGTGTCATATCGCTCTCCTCCCCGATCCTCGTGCTCGGCTTATTCGTCCTCGTCACCCTCCCGTGCTTCCACCTCCGCCTCCTCCTCGTCATTCTCCTCCTCCTCCGCCGTTTCCGCCTCCGCCTCCGCCTCCGCCTCCTCCTCCGCCTCCGCCCCCGCCTCCTCCTCCGCCTCCTCCTCCTCCTCCTCCTCCTCTGCTCCTCCTCCTCCTGCTCCTCCTCCTCCTCCTCCTCCTCGATACGGCTCACTTCTGGAACCGTGGCAAGTCTGAGATAGGTCGTGCCCAGTTCTCTCCTCCTCGCCCCCACCGCCTCCTACTCCTCCTCCTCGCGTCCACCTCCCCCTCCTCTCCTTCTCCTCCTCCGCCTCCTCCTCCATCCCTCCCCCATCTCCCTCTCGCCTCTCATCGCCCTCCCCGATCCCACCATTATCACCGCGGCCCTCGGTCCTGTCCCCGCGCCGCTCCTCCGCGCTCCTCCGCCGACACCGCGCGCCCCCCGCGCGCACGCGGCCTGCGCGCAGTGGTAGTGCCGCATGGCGTAGCTCGCCTGGCCCCGCAGGCTGGGACAGGGCGCGGCCGACCCACCGGCTGGCGTGCTGCCAAGGAAGAGCAAGACGACGACGACGACGACGACGACGACGACGACGACGACGACGACGACGACGACGACGGCGAGAGTTTAGGAGAGGGGAAGGAGAAGGATGAGGAACAGAGTAAAACCAAGATGCATCAACGATGCTGCAAGTCATCCCCTGTCCCCAGCCCCCTTTTCATAAGTCCTTCAGAGCCGTCTTTTTGCACTACAAGGAACGCCCCCTAGAAAGACAAGCACCCCATGAGCATGCAATTCAGGCTTGAGCCCCACTTTGATCCTTGCATCCTTCAATCGTTTAGTAAGGGATACGAACAGGTACGACCATACTGTTCAGCGAGGTGCCCAGCGAGATCCTCATTTTGAAATAGGGCCGCCCTCACATGATTACAAGTTTGGTCATAAACTTCGAGGGAATACCAAACGAGAGCCCGATTTTGAAAAGGAACCACCTTCCATCCGCGCAGCTCCTTAACATGTTCAAACGTCTGACCTCTCTGCCCGAAGAAGTCCCAAGCGAGAGCCTTATTGTTCCAGTGGCTCTCGCTTCACTCCCCAAACGCTGACCGAGAGAGCTGCTGAAAAGAGAAATATGAGATGACCCTGGTCCGCAACTCCGCCACATCACTGGGAGCAAGTCTTAGTGGTCAGGGAAAGCTATCTTATATCCCAGCGGCCAGGGAAGGTCAGACCCTTAACAGCTGCCCCCTCTGCTGCGGAATAAATTGCGCAAGACTGTAACAACTGCCGTAGGGACCTTATACAGTAGGCCCCACACCTTACGCACATCACCACAGGCAAAGAGGTCTTGTTCATCTTGGCAACGTGCAGGACGTGGGGGTTGGGGCCCACGACCTGGAACAAAAGAGAGAGCATCGACGGGGTCAAGGCCGCACGGGACCCATTTAGGTTTTTGGTATGAGCGCAATGTTGCATAACGGGCGTCATGGGCGGGGGGGGGCGGGGGAGGGGGGGATATCGGAACGCCCCCCCCCCCGGCGCCACCGTGTGGTTCCGGCACCACAGCGCCTGTACGCATCACAGTAGGCACCGTAGTGCAAAGCACAGTATGCAACGCCGCAGCCGCGTGCACCACATCGCCTCTGTACTGCGCTTTGAATACGTGCAGCATCACTTTCTGTCCCCTCCACACCCTGCTTCGAACAGTATTCTGTGCTGGTGTTTGCTGTCGACGAGGGCGCCCGAGCGCCGGACGGCAACGACGACGACGACGACGACGACGACGACAAGGAGGACGAGGACGAAGACGAAGACGACGACGACGACGAGGACAAGGACGCCGATGACAGGGACGAGGACGAGGACGACGCGAAGACGATAAGGATGAGAACAGACGAGGACGAGGACGACGAGGACGACGACAGGCACGAGACGAGGACGGGGACGAGGACGAGAACGAGGAGAACGACGACGAGGACGAGGACGAGGACGAGGACAAGGAAGAGGAGGACGACGAGGCCAAGGACGAGGACGACGACGACGAAGACGACGACGACAACGACAGGGAAGACGACGACGAGGACGAGGATGACAACGACGAGGACGAGGACGATGACGAGGAGGAGGACGAGGACGAGGACGACGATGACGACGACGGCCGCCTCCGAAGGTCTCTGGAGGCCACCGGAGGTCTAAGGAGGAGACCTCTGGAGGCGTCTGGAGACCCTTCGGGGCCCTCGGCGACGACGACGACGACAACGACGAGGGCGACGACCGGCACGAGGAGGACGAGGACGACGACGACGACGACGACGACGACAGGGACGAGGACGAAGACGGAGACGGGACGAGGACGACGAAGACGACGACGACAACGACGACGACGACGACGACGACGGCAACAATGACGACGACAACATCGACGACAAGCAACACAGTAGCATGCGAGCATCACAATGGCAGTGCCGGAGGCGCACAACGGGGGGGAGGGGGGAGGCGTTACGTTGTGTGTGTGGGGGGGGGAGGGGGCGGGACATAACGCGCGTCAGGGCCTAGAGGGCTAAAAAACACGCCCTCTAAAAGAACGCGGGCACAATCAAGACAACGCCATTTGAACCCACGCCCAGTGGGCCCTGTGAGCCTTGCGGCCCGAGGGAAGGACCAGAGGCTGAGCCCGCGGGGCCCTATCCAGTTTACACGAAGCTGCTCGGTTTTAGGAAAACTACCCGAAACGCTAGCCATGCCTGCTACCAAAGAGTACCACCGACTCAGTTCCAACTCATACTTGACAATATTCTGGGCCGTCTCGGGGTGAAGCTCGGAGACGTCGCCCATCCTTGCAAATCTTGTGAGCGCTTACAACACATGCGCGCGGCGCTAAAACCAAAATTTGAAAAGGAAGCGCCCTCCATCCTCGTAGCTGCTGCAAACGTGTAGGAAACACGTGCGCGGCCCTAAGGCGACAGCCCCATTTTGAATAGGAAGCGCCTTCCCCCCTTGTAAACGCTGCACGCTTTCAAGACGAAGGCGTGCGGCGCTAAAGCGAGAGTCTCATTTTGAAAACGTGTGCTCCGTCCGTGTCACTACGGGAGAAATTGAAGACGACTGTGCGCGGCGCTAGGGCGAGAGCCTCATTTTGAGAGCCACCCCCTCCATCCGCGTAACCGTGAAAACTTTCAAGCTGCAGCATCACTCCGGGTGAGGGAGTATCAAGCGAAACGCCCAGCCCACCCGACCGACACGTCTGGGGCTGCGACAGGGACGAGAAATCTACAAGGAAGAACGATGGAGGAGGACAGGGAGGGGCGCGCGGCCCTCTTGCGCCAGCAGCGTCGAAACCGAAATCCCCTACCATAATACTCCAAGCGGGGGCTGGACGATCAGGGAAAGCGAGACGGGCCCGCGCGACGCGACCCGACGGGTGGGCGAACGAGCCCGCGGGGGGGGGGAGGCTCCCACGAGCCCAGTGGGTCCTGGGCCCAGGGGCTTCTTGGGGCGGAAGCAGCTGGCTTCCCCGGCGCCTCCTGGCGAAGGGAGCGACAATGTAACTATCGAGGAAAGGACCTCGCGGCGGAGCTGGCACCAGCTGCGTGCAGAAGCTGTCGTGATCCCCCCGTTCCAGATCCCCCCCATTTTTCCGACCCGAGCTTCCCTGGAGCCCTCCAGACTTCCCTGGAGTCTTGCCTCTTCCCCGGGGCCTTCCAAAGTCCCCGAGGCCCAGGGCCCCCTTCCCAGAGGCCCCGCGCGAAGCGCGCAAGGAGCGGCGCGAGCGGCGCCGCCAGGGGGGGGGGGTCCAGCCAACCAAAAAAAATCGCAGGGACCTCCGCACAGTGAGATCCGAAGGCGCAAAAAGACTCCAGAATGGTGCAAAACCACGCCCACCAAAGCTCACGAGCCAATTTTTCTGCGGCACCTCTTAAGCTGGACAGATCCGTGTAAGCCCCAGGGCCCGAATCCGGGTGGAAAAAAATGCGACGCCCGGATCTGGGGGCACCTTTTTTCAATTTTTCGGCGGTGACCCATGTAACATTGTTATCTGGTGTGGGGGGGAGGGAGGTGCCGGCCGACAGACTAACCGCTTCGTGTCGGGCAGCCCCACGTACGCCCGCGAGCACCAGTACTTCGTACCCCCTTCGGACCTGCGCAACTGACAAGGTCAGGTTATCCGCGGGGAGGACGGGTAGACGGACCCGATGACCCAGTTTATCGCCGGACCCCAATAAAAAGTCTAAAGGGGCAATGCATGCTTGTGCCTCGTGTTGCCCCTCGGTCCCTGGGCTCGCGGCGAGAAGGCGAGCGAGGCGGGTCAGACAAGAAAGGGGGGGCGTAAGAAGTGGGGTTAGCGAACCAGCTCGCACAGCTAATTTCCCCAGCGCCGCCCGGCGCTGGCAAGCAAAAGACGTGTCAACGGAGCTGCCCAGCGGCGGGGCCGAAAACCGGCTGCACGCAGCAGTTTTCGTATCCCCCCATCCCTTTCTCTATCCCCCCCTCTCCCTATCGCCCCCTTTCCCTACCCCTCCCCCTTCCCTGTCCCCCCCCCTTGCCCTTTTCCACCCCCCCTTTCCCTCTCCCCCTTTCCTGGTCCTCTTTCCCTTTCCCTTGTCGTTGCTCCCCCCCCCATTCTGTATCCCCCAACCCTCCGCATTCCGGATCCCCCAACCCTTCCTCTATCCTTCCCTTCCCCCATCCCCCGAAGGGGGAGGGGCGATGGTTTATCTGGGCTGGCGGGCAGCCGATGGTGCTCCACGGGGGGTCGGCAGGAGGGGCTCTAACAAAGACGCACGCCGACGTACGAGGACGAGGACGGGGACAAGGACGAGGACGAGGACGAGGACGAGGACGAGGACGAGGACGACGACGACGACGACGACGACGAGGACGACGACGACGAGGACAAGGACAACGAGCACGAGGACGATGAGGACAACAACGACGAAGGGGACGAGGAGGAGGAGGACGACGACGACGACAATGACCAGGACGAGGACGAGGACGAGGACGAGGACGACAACGACGACGGCGACGGCGGCGACGACGACACGGACAATGACGACGACGACGACGACGAGGACAAGGACAACGAGGACGAGGACTATGAGGACAACGACGATAACGACGACGACGATGAGGACGACCAGTGTAAGCCCAAGACTCATCAACGATGTTGGAATACACCCTGCTCCCAAGCTCTCTCGTGGTAGGCCCCTACAAAATTCATATCCGCTGAAGGATGTGCCCCGTTGGGGGACAACCGTGGGAAAATCCCAAAGCACGCCAAAACACCATTATCAGGACTTCAACGCCACGAGTCAACCTTTCTGATACGTTAACCATGAGAAACAATGACATTATGTTTTCTTGTTTGTTTTATCTGTTGTTTTACTACCAAAATTCGGCGCTTAGCCACACGTTGAAAAAGAACCGCCCGTAACCCGCGACACGCTTTCAAACTTTGAAAACGAATGCGCGCGGAGCTGAGGCGAGAGCTACATGTTGGAAGCGACCCGCCCTCCATCTGTGGAACTGTTGCCAGCTCTTCAGCTTGAGGCTCAAAAGTGATAAGGAAGTCTCAAACGAAACGCCCAGCCCGCCCTTGCGATTAGGCCCGGGGTGCGAGAGAGAGGAGTTATTCACAACAAAAGGAATTGCGGAGGAGGGCCACGACGACGACAACAACGAGGACGGCAACGAAGACGACGACGACAACGACGACGGCGACAACGAGGACGAGAAGAAGGACGACGAGGACGACGACGACGACGACGACGACGACGAGGACGACGAGGACGACGACGACGACGAGGACGACGACGACGACGACGACGACGACAACGGCGACGACGAGGCCGAGAACGAGGACGACGACGAGGACGACGACACGGACGACGACGACGACGAAGGCAAGGACAACGACGACAATGATGACGACGACGAGGACGACGCCGAGGACGAGGAGGAGGAGGACGACACGGACGATGACATGGACGAGGACGAGGACGAGGACGAGCACGACGACGACAATGACGACTAGAACGTGACGACACGGACGACAACACGGACGACGACGACGACGACGACGACGAGGACGAAGACAACGGGAACGTGGACGATGAGGGCGGCGACGAATCCGACGACGAGAACGAGAACGGAAGAGGAGGACGACGGCGACGAGGACGAGGAGGACGACAACGACGACGACGACGACGACGACGACGACGACGACGACGACGACACGGACGACAACACGGACGACGACGACGACGACGAGGACGAAGACAACGGGAACGTGGACGATGAGGGCGGCGACGACAGCGACGACGAGAACGAGAACGGAAGAGGAGGAGGACGGCGACGAGGACGAGGACGACAACGACGACGACGACGACAACGACGACGACGAGGACGAGGAAGAGAACGACGAAGTGACGAGGACGAGGACGAGGTCGATAACATAAACGAGGAGGAGGACGACGACGACGACGACGGAGACGAAGACGACGTCGACGCCTACGACGAGACGGACGACGATACGAACGACGACGCGGACGACGACGCGGACGACGAGAACAAGGACAACAAGAACGAGAACGGTGAGGACGACGAGGACGAGGAGGAGGACGACGACGACGAGGAAACAGACGAGGACGAGGACAAGGACGACTCTGACGACGACGACGACGAGGACGGCGACGATGGAACGACCACGGCGACGACGACGACAACGACATGGACGACGACGACGTCGTCGACGACGACGACGACGACTGTGCGGAAGACGACGGCGACGACAACGACGCCGCCGACGACGACGAGGACGAGAAGAAAAACGACGCCGAAAACGACGACGAGGACGATGACAAGGAGAAGGAAGAGGACGACGACGACGACGAGAATAGCCACAACGACGACGACGATGACGACTACACCAACGAGGGCGAGGACCAAGACGAAGGCGACGACGAGGACGAGGACGACGAGGACAACGACGAGGATAAAAAAGGACGATTGCAAACCCGAGACGCATCAACGATATTGGGATCCACCCTACCCCCAAGGTCCCTCTTCACAAGCCCTTACAAGGATTCATCTCCACTGGGGGAAGTGTCTCTATTGGGGGACAACCGGGATAAAATCCTGAAATGTGTTTTTTTCAGTTTGCTAGTACAAGAAAAGAAAGACGTCAAGGCCACGAATCAACGTGACTGCTGCGCCTTGGCGATCCTGAACCGCGCGAGAACACCATTCCTGGGAGAGTAACACCGCGAATCAACGTAACTGTGCTGTCCTGGAAATCCTGGAAGTTCTGGTACGGTAGCCACGAGAACCAATAAGACGTCTGCAAATATTTGTTTGACGTGCGCGGCGGTCAGGCGAGAGCAACGGTTTGAACAATAACCGCCCTCACCCACGAAACCCTTGCAATTTGTGCAAACAGAACGTTCGCGGCGCTAAGGAGAAATCAGATTTTGAAAACGACCTGCCCCCAATCCGTGAAATTCTTGCATAAGTTTAGAACGAATGAACGCGGCGTTAAGGCGAGAACCGCATATTGAAAACGACCCGCCTCAACCCGTGAAACTCGTACGTAGGAATGTGCGCGGCGCGTGGGCGAGAGCCACATGTTGAAGACGACGTGTCGTCAATCCGCAGAACTCTTGCACATGTTTGAGACGAATATGCACGGCGCTAGATATGCACGGCGCTAAGGCGAGAACCACATGTTGGAAGCGACGCGCCCTCCATGTGTGAAACTGTTGCCAGCATTTAAGCCTGACGCTCACAAACGTAAACAAGGTCTCAAGCGAAACGCCCGGCCCGCCCTGCCGATGGACCTCGCGGTGCGCAAGGGAGGAGATATTCATGCGAAAAAACCGGACGATCAGGACGACAACGAAGACGAGGACGAGGACGAGGAGAAGGAGGACGACGAAGACGAGGACGAGGACGAACGCGACGACGACGATGACTACGACGACATGGACGACGACGAGGACGACGACGGCGGAGAGGACAACGACGACGAAGATGACGACGCCTACACTGACGACGACGAGGACAAAGACCAGAACGAAGACGAGGGCGAGGACGACAAGAAGGAGGAGGAGCACGAGATAGACGAGGACGAGGACTACGACGAGGACTAGGATGAGAAAGACGAGGACGACGAACACGACGACGACGACGACGACGACGACCACAACGACCACGACGACGACGAGAAGGAGGAAGAGGACGACGACGACGACGAGAAAGACAACGACGACGACGACGACGACGACGACGAGAACGACAACAACGACGACGAGGACAAGGAGGATTGCGATGACGACGACGACGACGACGACGACGAGGACGAAGAGGACGGCGACGAGGACGAGAACGACGACGACGACGACGAGGACGACGAGGACGAGGACGACGAGGACGGCGAGGACGGCGAGGACGGCTGCCACGACGGCGCTAGCCCTTGCGGCGCGCCTCGCCCAGCAGCGCCCAGCGCAGCTGTCGTCGTCGTCGTCGCCGCCGTCGCTGCAGGCCTCGTCGCCGTCGCCGTTGCCTTCACCGATGTCGTCGCCATTGTCCTCGTTGCCGTCGCCGTTGCTCGTGTCACCCTCGCTGTTGCGTTTGCCGTTGCCTTAGCCGCCGTCGTCGCCATCGTCGTCGTTGCCGTCGCCGCCGTACTCGTCGCCCCCGCCCCCTCCTCCTCCTCCTCCTCCTCCTCCTCCTCCTCCTCCTCCTGCTCCTCCTGCTCCTCCTCCCCATGCTCCTGCTCCTCCTGCTCCTCCTCCCCATGCTGCTGCTCCTCCTCCGCCTCCTCCTCCGCCTCCTCCTCCTCTGTCTCCTCCGCCTTCTTCTCCTTCTCCTCCTCCTCCTCCTCCTCCTGCTATTCCTCCTCCTGCTCCGCCTCCTCCTCATCCTCCTCGTCCTCGCCCTTGTCCTCGTCCTCGTCGTCGTCTTCCTCCTCGTCAGTCTCCTCGCCGCCCCCAACGGCGCCCCCAATGGGCGGCGCCCGCAAGCCTCGTCCAGCAGCGCCTCCCACAGCAGGGGGGGCATCCCGCCGCCCTCGCGGCACCTCCCGCGTAGCCGCGGCGCGCGCCGCCGTGCAGCAGTGGTAGGCAAAAAGATCTCCTCCTCCTCCTCCTCCTCCTCCTCCTCCTCTCCTCCTCCTCCTGCTCCTCCTCCTCCTCCTCCTCCTGCTCTCCTCCTCCTCCTCCTCCCTCCTCCTCCTCCTCCTCCTCCTCCTCCTCCTCCTCCTCCTCCTCCTCCTCCTCCTCCTCTTGCCCGAGCGGCCTTACTTCATCCCTGGGCGCGCGTGGCCATCGTGGGCCCGCTTCTGCTCCACGAGGGGGCCCTAAGCGGGGGGTCCTCGGCGGGGGCTCCTGGGCGAAGGATCCCAGGCGGGAGTTCCTTGGCGGGGGGTCCCGGGCAGGGGGTCCTGGGCGGGGGGTCCCAGGCGTGGGGTCGTGGGCGAAAGCGTTCGGTGAGAGCACCGCCGCACCCTCACTCTTATCCAAGTGACGGGTACTACGTATACCCACAAGGGAGGTACGATCGAAGACGAAGAGTGCGGGTATCGAGGGCTTGGGAAATACATGTTGGTCGACCCGCGAGCAGGTAAGGGCGAGCCGTATCAAAATGATGGTTGTTGCTGGTGTTGTCGTCGTCCCCTGCGACCCCCTCGCGACCCCCTCGCAACCCTCCCGACACCCACCCGCGACCCACCCTGCGCCCGCCCCCATCACTCTTATCCGCAACTGCGACGTGCTACGTGTTTGGCCAGCCCGGACCCCAATATATCCATCCCTCGCCCCTTTAAACCAGACGTGCAGGAGCTCGAAGAGCTGGATACCAACAGCACCGACACGCTCAATATTTCGCACTCTACCTGACACGACAGCTTACTGAACGCACAGGCCTGGCAAGCACCCGGTCTCTCCTGGTGAGGACGGGGGGCCACGGACAGTTAAAGACCTCCCGACATTATAATGGCAGATAACTCGGCGTAAAATGGAAACGGCGGGACTGTGCACTTGATCCGCGGTAGCGGCGGCCGAGAGGGCAGGGAAACGGGACGAGAGAACAAGTGCATCCCTCGCCCCTTTAAACCAAACGTGCAAGAGCTCGAAGAGCCGGATACCAACAGCATTGACGAGCTCAATCTTTCACACTCTGTCTGACAGGCCAACTTACTGAACGCACAGGCCTGGGAAGCACCTAGTCGCTCCTGGTGAGGACGGGGGGCGACGGACAGTTAAAGACCTTCCAGACCCATAATGTGATCTGGAGCCGCAAACCCATGAAACCAAAAAAGCAAGCTCCTGAGGGACTCCAAAGAAAAGAACGAGACCCGGGGGACACAGCCAGAAAGTCGCTAGGATCAAGCAGCGGCGACGAGACGGGCCAGCAGCTGGCCATTGAAGGAGCGTAAAAGCCACGCAGCACTAGCCGCCGCCAATTTAGAAGGATACTGGGCGGCGACGGTAATCCAGTTGACTGAACTGCATGGGACTTTGCCCACAAGAACTAAATGGGGCTCACCCGAGAAACAGCAGACCCCATGCCCGCGACACGAACGATTGACCCGCGGCAGGCTTGGAGCCCACCAACCCACGAGTCGAGTTCTCGTTCTCCAGCGGGTGCCGAAAGCACACTGGTCGATGACTATTTCTATAGTTTTATCATGAGAGCGAAGCTTGGCCATGCCATGCTTCTTCCACACCGAGGACTAGTGTGGGTCCTCACAGATCATGGGAACCCGAAAAGAGATAGCGGTTCGGATGAACCGACGCGTGGCCGCCAGGGTCCTGTTTCCCGCAGGCAGCCGGGAAGCCTGGGAAGCACCAGGGACGCGCAAGGGAAAGCACACCAGATGCCCTTCACAAGCCCCGCTGAGATCCAGACCAAAACTGCATTTAACATCGCAAGATTCGTTAAATCGAACTCGGGCCCGCATTAAACATCGAAGGCGATACCAGACTCATCTAATTTTTCGAGTGCTCTGAGGATGAGAGAGCAGCCAGAAAAGATATCGAGGAACACCTTGACATCTGGCGACCGCCTGCGAGCGCCGCGAATATGCCGCTGCAGCCGGCACCGCAACTCGGAAGCAGACGCTGATCAGCAGGTCCACCAGCTCGAACGTCATGATCAGGCCCCACGCGAAACCCCGATGCCAACCGCTGGCTCACTCGAGCTGGGTCGACCGCAGGTTGGGCGGCGGCGGGGGCGCCCTGGCACCCGACAGGACGTCGATGAGGCGGCTGGCGACCTCCAGGCCGCACTCGCGCGCGAGGGGTGACACGTTCTCGGCCTGCTCCAGCGCACGGGCGTGCTTCTCGTAGCGGCGGACCGACGCCTCGGCCCGCCACCTGCCCCTGCGCTTGATCTGCTCGAGCGCCCGCACGTTCCCGGGCGCGTCGTCGGACGCGCCCCCGTGCGCCAGCATGCAGGATGGGGCCGGCGCCCCGCGAGGTCGCCCAGCTGAGCAACGCGCGTGAACACCCATCAAAAGCTCGTGTAGTCGAAGGACCACAGGCACTTGCCCCCGCGGCCCCTCTTGGCCCGGAGTAAGAAGTCCTGGATAGGGGGCGAACTCGGCCGCGCCCAGCAGCGAGCCCTCGTCGAACTCGTCGGTCTTCGGGGGCACGACCAGCTCCGAAGGGGCCAGAAGAAGGGCCCAGTAGGTAGTGCACGTCCCAGGGTGCGACTGCACATACTGTCCCGCCGTCGAGCTCAGGCACTGGTCGAGACGCAGATAGGTCCGAAACATCAGCACCAGGCAGAAGGCGAGCTCCTGCCAGCCCAAGGCCGTCGCACAGCCCACCACATTGCAGAGCGCGAGCCAAGGTAATGGCCGGCGGCAGAGCCCTGGCGCCTGACGGCGACAGCCCCTGAGAGCGTTCTTCGCCCTCACCAGCAGCGCCCCCCCTGGCACCTCCAGCTCGGGAATGCGGAACTCGACGTTCGCCAGCACCTTCTCGCCCGCATCGCGGTTGTGGCCCTGGAAGTAGCGGTCCTCGGAGTGCCCCACCAGCGCGAGGTCGATCTCGGCCAGCGTCTTCAACGGGGTGTCGTTCTGCGGAGCACACCGCGGAAGTCGCAGAAGTACCGATCGCAGAGCGTCGCCGAGCACCTCGTGGCCTGGTTGACCACCATGAAATAGAAGCTCAGGTCGCTGCAGATCACGGCCTGGCGCCCATGCTCCTGAGCACGCCGCCGAGCCCTCGCCAGCCGCTCTTGGGTCGATGCCAGCGACAGCCTCACCGCCTCCAACGGCCGCTTCACTGGCAACGGCCAAGCTGGCGCCAGGCCGATCCTTGCCCCCTCGCTCGGACTCGCAGCGGCCGCTGCTGCTCGAAGACGCAACGGAGCAGCTGCCCTCGGCGTCGCCGTCGACCAAGTGGCCGGGGAGGTCGAGCGGAGTGGCAGGCCAGGAGGACGCCGGGGCACGACCCTCGAAGCTGCTGGGGCCCCGCCGATGGCACTCCTTCTGGGCGAGCGTCTGAGCAGCAGACTGGAGCGCGCGGCGCTGCTCGTCCTCGCGACGCGGCCGCCCCGCGCGAGCATCGCGAGGATCGCCCATGCCCTGGCGCGCCGCTGGCCCCTTAAGCCAAGAAGGGCCGCCGGCGGGGCTGAACTCGCCGAAGCCCACCTGCTGGGGAACTCCGCATCGGCCACCAGACTAAGGGCACATAACTGACCAAGGTGATGACTGATATTAGCAACGGTAGCTCTGTCCTTCCTCTGCGCCTGGATAAATCCAAGATTATCGCCAACGTTGACACGTCGATGATGGAAACTTTCAATTGAACGAAGCGCGCGGCGAGCCGCAGTGACAGTAGAAGCCCCCTCGGTGGAAATGATGGCGTCGGCCCGTCGCCGCCGGCCCCTCGCCCGCAGCTGCCCGGAGTCGAAGTCGCTGATGACGCCGCGCTCGAGGTGGCTGCAGGAGACCGGCACGTCGCCGTCAGGCGGAGGCTTGACAGCTTGCAGCTCGGCGCCTGCAGCGCCGATGGCGGCGGCGCGCGCCTTGGCGGCGCCCGCCGCGGCGAAGCTCCGGCGCCCCTGCCGCCGGCCAAGCCCGCGCCTGCTCAGCCCCCAAGAGATTGCGGACGACCCCGAAGCCACCGTTGGCGAAGAGGTTGGGGACTCCGAGTCCGAGGCCGCGACGCATCCCACCCACGTGCGCTCGGCGTCGGCGTAGGCCAGCGGCAGCAGGTCCACCGCCCACTGCAGCTCGCGTCGAACAGCAGGCCACGGCGGCACCCGCTCGGCACCCGCCTCATCCACGAACCTATCGCACGCGCGCGGCAGCGAGAGCAGGCATCTGCAAAGAATGGCGCACCAAGCGTAGCGGCCTAGCAGCGAGCGCAGCTCTGGCCCAGCGTCAGCCTGACCTTCCAGCACCTGGTGTGCCCCGATGAAATCCGACCAGACGCTCGATGCAAGTCGAGCCCTGCGCGGCGGGGGACGTCGGCCCCATGCTCGGTAGTTTTACAGTTCAGGCCGTCGGCTGCGAGCTGCTCGAAGACCGCGCCCGCTGCAACCATGACGCGCTCCTCGGACGTGCCCGCGATGCCAGCGCTGTCGACGTAGACCGCGGCGCCTACCTTGGAGCCCCTCAAATCGGGCGCTGGGCGCTTGTCCCGGAAGAAATGCTCAGTGGTGAAACCCACCTTCTGAACCGATGCCACTACCAACTGCCGGCAGAAGTGAGGAGTTCACGACCGCCCCATAGCCGTAACCTCCTGGTGGGGACTGAGCCATAGACCATCTCCGAAGCCAGCGCGCGGCGCCAGTTCACGAAGCAGACGCATCGAGACACGAGGCAGGACAAAATGATCAGCAACCCCAGGCGTGCATCGAAATCGATGAAATTTACACTCCACATCTTTTTGCGAGAAGACGAGCTCGTCCTCTGGCCCAAGCTCTACACAAGACCAAGCGGCAGGCGTCGGCAACACCGTGTCTTCGGCATCTTTGAACCCAACGTTAACGAGCCTCGTGTCCAGGATCACTATATCCATCCAGTTCTTGCTGTGCACACAAAAAAAACATACCCACCGTAGAGGC